TGGTCACTGGGAGAATCTGGTCTTTTCTTCCTCTGGGTGAACCTCCATAACAAAGCAGAGTTAATTTTGAAGTATGATTTAACATGTGACTATAAATAAGTTAAGAATAATAAATGCATAGATGATAAGGCCGGAAAAGTGTCCAGGGGTCATCAGGCCCAGGGTTCTGACTGCACAGAACTCTTTCCATCATTGTATAACTTTATCTTATCTCTGCAAAAAAGGCATTCGGTTGTAAATGTCCTTGTTTTAGTAGCAACATTTCATGCAGATAAATGCAAATGTTACTATCATAAACCATATTTTAAAAACTGTGTCCTCAAAGCCATGAATCAGGGGAAAACTATAAAGCCACATCCTTATCATAACATTGAAGGCTATTTCACATCATGTAGGAGCTGTTACTTCTCTAAGTAGCCTGGAGTTGTTTTTGAAGAAACTCATTTACAACGGAGTGTGGTGTAGTTTGAGAATATGGGGTCAGGTGGGTGAGGAATAGGCTTTAGTGTAAAGAAAAAAAACAGTTTACTATTTTAATACATACATGTACATTTTGTATATTTTTACATACTCATTTTTGCCACTATTGGATGGCAAAAGTGAAGTACTACAGAAAAGCTTCGTACGCAAGGTTCACAGCTCAAAGACTGGAGAGGCTACTGGGATGTGGGTGGGAACCCAAATGAAGGTATTAATGAACATAGAGCAGACACAAAAGTAAATCATGTGGGAATGTAGGTAGAAGCAAGTGTGAGTGAAAAGGGAAAGAATCGTGGAGTTTATTATTACTGGCAAGATTTTGTATGAGTCTCCTTAGTGTACAGTTTACCTAAGAGTTTCTCTTATTCTCCGCGTAGAAAGAGTTCATTTTTCCATCTTTAGTCATAATGTGAAAGAGTCAGAGATATCTCAAAGTCTTCTCAAAACTCTCAATATTTCACAATAATGAGAAACCATATGCTGAAGGAGAAATATTAATAGAAAATGCTGTCTTTCAGATGCTCACTGAATCAACTGAAGACAGTTGACGCATCTTTAGGAAGCCGTGTCTGAAACTTAGCTCATTAACCACTCCTGTATTATGTATGCTCACTCCAGTTCCTAATATGACACATCAATAAACCAGATCTGAAAAGGTGTCATTTCAATTTCAATGGAGCCAATTGTATTTTTAGATATTCCTCCATTTAGAAGTGTTTGTGTTATTTCCTGATTTTACAAGCTATGAAAGAGTGGGTGTGGTATTGATTTGAAGGAGAAACCACTGCTTTCCTATAACCTTTTCAAAGATTTTGTTCTGATTATGTTGTAAGAGCAATACATGGCTCCTCCTTGATAATATTTCAGCCCTCCCTCAGCCATTGTCCAGCCCCATCTCCACTACTTAGGTGTAACTTAGCCACAAGGACGTGTGTACCACTCTTCATTGTCCAGCTCCTTGAGTACATGTGAAAGCAGAGGAGGAGAGAAAAAGTATTTCTTCTACAAGGTGTTCTTCATGTAGGGTGTTTCTTACAAGCCGACGTGGGAACCACCACGTACTTTTATAAGAATTCTTACGTGGGGCTGGCCTGCTCATCAAGCAGCTCATCGGCCCTCTGCCCACCATGCAGCGTTTAGTGTGCTGTGAAATGTCAGGCTACCACGGCAAGTGCCGTGTCCCCAAGTGACACTGACTTAGGTCAGGTACGGGCAACTACGCTGCGAATGCTCTCTGCATCCAGGTAGTATGCTTGTTCCCGAAAATAAAAAGTGAACCATACCCAGCATGGGCCTCAAAAACGGTGGCAGGAGGAAGTGGTGAACATTTATGAACTTACTTTTCGCTAGTTACTGTGTTAGGTACATTGCATACTACTATCTTATTTAATCCCTGAAACTAGCCTTTTACCTATTATTCAAAGAAAATAGGAAAGTTGTCCAAGACCACACAGCCAATAAAAAGCTGTTACACATGTCAAACCAAGATCTGTCTATTCCAATCCATGTTCATGTCTTTCCTTTGTTCACTAATTCTTTCTTTATTCATTTAATCATATATGCCAGTATAAGAACTGCCTCGCTTTGTGGGAAACTTCTCAGTTTAATGGGAGAAACTGACAGGCATTCAAGCCATGGACATACCACATGGACTGTTATATAAATAGGATGTCCTAAGTGCAATGGAACATAGAAGACGGGCTCTGTCTTGAGAAGTTAGTTCATAAGTTTTTACCTGGTGGTTAAACATACTTAGTAAAAGTTTTAGTTCCTGCCCAGGCACCATGGCAGTGACATTGCAAATTCAAACGTTTCCAATTAAGCAACCCCAGCATTTCCCAACTGGGACATATGCTTCCTAAAACTGAATTTGGGGGATGTAGTATTTAGATCACTCTCCACTTATTATCTGTCAAGCTTAATTTATGACTGCTACTCCTTTAGTCCTCAGTGTTAACTGATCCCTTTTTTGGAGATCTGACATTGATCTGGTCATTACTATGACCAGAGACTTCAGTGAAATTTAAAAAGTCTTCTCTCCTATCTTCCTCTCCCCTCTTCACCTCTCCCAATGTCATCTTTATTGCTTGATCAAGTGGTTCACTAGATGCTCAGGTAAATTATACTACTAGCATCATGCCAAACTAGGCAGAATGTATCCATCTCATAAATGAATAAATATGTGTATACATACATGTGTATGTATCATTGGTGTGTGGTATTAACTTCAGATGGCTAGATACAGGGTATCCAACTGTCCCTAAGAGCTCTGTCCTCAATATACTGTACTAATTTTACTCTAATCTTTAGTGACTTGTTTTACTTCTTTTTCTGAGTTTCTAGTATCCCATAGGCTCTGATTGGTCCTATGAAGCGTGACATTGTCTTACCATCATTAAGCTGCAAAAGATTAGATTATTTGGCAAAAAGATTAGATCTGCTGTCTGCTGCTATGATGTTGCAACTGCCTTTTCTCTTTTCTCTCCCTCTTTCTCTCCCCCTTTGTCTCTTTCATTTGCATTTGTCCAATCTGTATTACGTTGGAACTCTTCTAAGAATAACGGCAATTTTGAAAGCTCTGACTGTGGGAGGCATTATTTATGGGCCTTTGTGGTTTTAGAAGGAAGAATTAAAGCTTCCAAGCAGAGTTCTACTAGGAAGACTGCCCCCACCCTACTTAGCCAAACACTATCTTCTGCAAGATATTTTCCTATAATTCCTTATGAAACGCTTCTTTTGCAATGGGGTATTTTTTTTTAAACCTGCTAGTTTCCAAAGTAACTCTTTCTTACCCCACTATATAAAGCTTATACCTAATAACAGGTAATTACAAATTGGTCTTTTGGAAGTGCATTGTATTAGGAAGTGTGTTTGGTTTAATATCAGAGACCTTCAAAGGCTTTAGTACACAGGACTTATTTTCTTATGTGAAAGATAAACTCAGAGACCAACAGTACAGGACTGGTCTGACTGCCCCGCAGATTCAGGGAAGCTCCTTCTACTGTGTGCTCCACTCTGTATGGCCTCAGTTCTCAAGGTCATCTCATGGTACAACCATGCTACCTACATTCTGAGGAGCAGAAAGGCCCAAAGGCTAAAAAACTAAGTCAGTCCCCTGCACACAGCCTGCCCCATGTAACACTCTGACTGAAGTCTCATTGGTCAGATTTGGTCATGTGGTCACTAGCTGCCAAAGCATCTGGGAAATGATCTCTTTCAGCTGCTATGGCCATCCCTTCAGCAATGGGGTTGTTTTGCTAAGAAAGAGGAGAATGCCTATTGGATGGGTGTGTGCCTTACATATTAGCCTCTTATCTATCATCTTTTCCCACAGTGGCCTCTTTCGAATCATCAGGAGCTTTGTGCTAGAAGTTCTCTAACTTCTAGACAAGTACAGAAAGGAAAGGTAGCTGAGTCATTGTATATAAAGCGTTTAAGAAATAATTATAATTCTGGGCTCTGGTTAAAACTACGGTTAAGATGAATTCTCTGATGTACTAAGTAACTCAGTTCTTACTGTGCCATCCATGCCCAGAAAGGAAAAAAGAAGCAAAACGGAGGAAAGCAAACTGTGTGGTATGTAGTTTTGAACAACTTCTTATTTTTTTGAATTCATACGACTCAGTATTATGCTTTCATTTTTTGCACTTTTTTGTTTTACAGCAAAAACAAAAGTATTAGGGAGAAAAGATAGCACAGAAGTAATAAAGAAAAAAGCTCTTTACTCCTCCAAAACTGAGCAAAAAATAGAATACTGGTAATTGAATCAGAATGTATGTCCTTGTGTGTTTGTTTGCTGTTGCGGCTCTAACAAATCATCACAAACTCTGACTCCAAACAACAAGAATTTATCTTAGGTTCCTGAAGGCCAGAAGTCTGAAGTCAGTTTCACTGGGCAAAAGTCAAGGTGCTGGCAAGCCCGTGTTCCTTCTGGAGGCTCCCTCTCCTTGGCTTTTGTGGTTTTGAGAGGCCGTCTCCCCTCCTTGGCTTGTGGCCCTTTATCACAGAGCCATTTCTCCTTCTGCCTCCCACTGTTATGTCACCTTCTCTCTCTGACTCTGATCCTCCTGCTCCCCTCTTAACCACCTTTGTGATTATACTGGGCCACCCAGAGAATCCAGAATAACCTCCCCGTCTCGGAATCCCTAATTTAATCACAGCTACAAAGTCCCCTTTTCCATGGAAGGTAACACATCCACAGGTTAGGAAGTGGACGTCTTTGGAAGGCCATCTTTCACCTTACCACATCTTGTGAAATAGTAAAGCATTTCTGAAAACCGACTCATTGCCTGATCTTAAGAAGATCGTGTCAGAGCCACACTGTTGCTGCTTTCCTATTACCAGGATCTAATTCAGAGTCAAAGAAACTTCATGATGCTGATTTAGAGTGTATCTCTGGCTGCTGATTAGGACTTTAAGTTGCTAAGTCTTAGTCCAAAATTCTCCTAAGAAAATTTCTCCAAGCACCTTTGAAATCTCATTCTTTTCTAACCTTTCTTTAAAAAAAATTTTTTTTTCAGAAAAGCAAGACAACAACACAAGAATTGAAACTATGAAGTCTCTTGTACAAAAACTCCCTCCACCAAATCGTGACACCATGAAAGTCCTCTTTGGACACCTAACTAAGTAAGTTGTAAAAGTTCCTAATTGTGTTACTGTATTTTCATTTCCTAAATGAGCAATAGTTAATGTCAAATCTCTAATACAAGAGTTTCCAAACGCATCTGTTCCAGATTTCCCGATCTGTAGCCGATCTAAGCCTTCCTGTAGAAGCTAGGGGATGTACGAGAGGTAGAAAGGGAAACCTACAAAAGGAAGTTTCAAAATAATTTCTTTTCCTGGCTTTTCAACAAGTAGATGTTTACTGATTGATTGTCAGAACTGCAGCCAGAGCCCTGGGGTGGGCTGGGTTTACTTTGCTATCTAGTATGAAGCAAGAGCCTGAAATAATTCAGTCATGAGTTCAAAATCTAGCCTCATCATGTACTAAGAGTTATGACCCCAAATAAGTTACTTAAACTCTCTGAAATCCAGTTCCTTCATCTGTGAAACATTGATTCGGATTGATAAGGTGCTATCCATGTAAACAGCTAAGAGAAGAGTATTTCCAGCAAAAAAAAAAAAAGCAAGTGTGAAGACCCAGAGGCCCACAGAGCTTGATGTATTTGAAAAGCAGAAAGCGGGCTGGGCTGGCTAGAGCCCAGTGGACTAGGGCTGTGGTGACAGAGCTGAGGCCAAAGATGTTAGACCAGTGTAAGATCACATAGGTTCTTGTGGGCCACAGGGAGAGAGGCGAATTTCATTCTGGGGGATATAAAAGATCCCTCTGGCTGCCTGGTGGAGAATGATTTGCAAAAGTGGGGCCTCTTCCCAGAGAACCATGGTAATCCAGCCAAGAGGTAATGGTGGCTTCAGTGGAGATCTTAGAGGGATATTTTGAAGATGGGCAGGTTGGGTTTGGGAATGGTTAGGATGCAGTAGAGAAGGGAAAGGAGAAATCATGTGTGTCTGTTCTAGTTGGGGCTTGGGAGTGGAGAAACAGCAGTGCTCTGCAGCTGGGTAGAGCTGGAGAAGGAATGGGCTGGGCAGGGGGAACTGACTGGAGAGCTTCACTTTGGACACGGGAAGTTTGAACTGACTGTTACTCATTTGCCTTCTGTTAACACCTTCTTCAGAAAAAGCAGAGTGCAACACGACTGATGAGGTTTTTATCGTCACCATGTACATACAGTACTGCTGAAGCCGGATAGGCTTGCGAATTGATTGGGCAGTTTTGATTTTGTGAGATTAAATCTCTTTGATCACCCATTCCTTGGGCTGAATCCTTCCTACAGATGATTCAGCTAATCCACTACATGACTTTTCATTGTGAATATAATATGCAGAATTGCACACACAAAAAATGTAAGCAACCGTGGTGCACATAAGTGAAATTTGCCTACCACTCTTAGCCTGCCGAGCAGAAGTACATTTTTGTGTCTGTCCTCCCAGACCTGTTCCAAAGCACATGCAAACATACGTTGTGCAGTTGTTTATTGCATTAAAGTATATCACACTGCACATACCATTCTTCAACTATTTTGCAACTCATGGACAGCTTTCCATTTCATTAAACAGACATCTGATTCTTTCTAATGATGACATAGTGTGCCATGGTATGGATAGTCCACAATTTGCTTAACTGCTCACTGCATTAGGGAACATGTTTCAATCTAATTCATCGTATTAGCTCCTTACTTATTTCACTCCCACAGGGGAACCTGTGTCAAAGTTCAGAACATCCCTTATTGTTAGACTGTCCCTTCTTGTCACCTGTCACCTCCACACACTGGCTTCAGTGAGAAACCCAGTGTGATTATGTGAAAGGATCTTGGGCTTTAAAGAAGTAGACAGAGAGAGAGCTCTAGAGTCAAATTCTTGTTCTGTACTTTACTCCCTTTATGATCTCAAGCACATAAAATTGGATTAAATAATATCAACCATATCTTGTGGTTATGAGAATTAAATGAGATAATGCATATAAAAAGCCTGGCACAAGGTAAGCATTCCTCAGATGTTAATTCTTTTCCCTTAGGATCCAGACACACCATGACAGGGGTTTCAAGTTACAAGTAAATACTGGAGTGCTTATCTCAGTAACTTTAACTGGACGAAGTCATAAAACAAATGGAAAAGTATACTCTTAAATGCTGTGCAATACCTAGTCTCAGAGATCTTGAGAAATATCCGTTACTCAGTCTCAATTATTCCTTTTTTTTCCCAACTGAAAGAACAGCTATAAAATGAAGAAACTGAGAATCAGCTAAATCCTACTTTGGAAAAAACACACACACAGATGAGAACCCATCCAATTAAAAACCTTCAAAGGATGAGAATCCTCCACCTTCATGCCACACAATACCAGTATTAACAACGCCTGATCGTGTTTCTTATATCTAAATTAATTTCCTGGTTTTGTTAGAACTTCCATTCAGTTCAGTATAGATGAAAACAGACATTTTTAACTGAGACTTAAGAGGGGATTATTGTATCACTTTCACAGCATTCGCATAAGATTTTTTATTCTACATGGAGAGAAAGGTGTTGTTTGCTAGCCACTCACCTTTCTTGAGTGGTGTGACCATTTTCCACCCCGCAGTGATTTACAAACTGGGTTTAATTATGCACAAGTGTGTGCACATGATTATATCTTGTTAAGCATTTCTTACTAAGTTTTTGATAAACAGCCAATCGTGGCATGTCATCAAAGCCTGAGAAGACTAAATAAGAAGATTGTTTAACGAGAATTTAAATATATTCATGTTTGAAAGAATCATTAGAATGTTTTCCTTAGTCTTGATGCATTTGGTAGCTCTTCAGAAAATCTACCATCAACACTTGTATGTAGTGTTTATTCCAAATTGTTGCAAATATATATATTTTGAAGTTTGTTCAGTAAGGGTCAGGGAATGTAATGAAGTGCCAGAAATTCCACTTGATCTACGTCCTACTCTGTAGCTAACAGACTAGCACTCCTTTTTTTTTGCAAAGCTCTGAGTTAAACATTCCCATGAAAGCAGAACAACTACCAACTGAGAAGGCTTAATACAGCACAGTGGGACTAGAAGGTGGACGCACATGCTGTCCGCAAAAGCCAGAATGTTTAAAGGGCTGTGATTATATTAACATAAGATTGCATGCTAGCTGCACAGGCTGAATAGCCTCAGAGTCCAGCGTCCTCATTCTTGATCAGACTCAGGGTGAAGTATATGCTTCTGCTGTGATAGATTGAGACCAGGCATTCAGAATAAGCTATCATCTCAAAATGCCATCAACCAGAAACCTTTGTCAATAGGCACTTTCACCAGTTGACATTGCAGTGATAAGGACTGGAAGGCCCTGTGATACCCTCTGCATCATCATTTAAATGGCAAGTTCTAGCTCTGTGAAATAGAGGTGTCAAATGCATGTTCCTTCAGCCTGCTTCTTTGGAAAGGCAGGCAGGCGAAGTGAAGATGAAGTTAATGGGAAGGAGGACCTAGAAAGGTAAGGTTTGCTTGCTGATGGGTAGTAGTTGGAGGTCGAGAGGCAAGCAGAGAGGTTATAGGAGAAACAGAGAACCACTGAGACTTCACGTGTCACATAGCTGCATGATGTGCTCCGTGTTTATGAAAGTTATCTGACAACAAAGTGTAGGGTGAACGAGACAGGAGGAGAAAAGAACCCCGACTACCCGGGAGTCAGAGCTGGATTTGAGTGGTGAACATCAAATGGAAAGCAATGGTCCAAATCTTGAGACTTTTCAAAAGAAAATTCCACCCAATTTTTCTTTCTCTCATTCCTTTGGGCCTCTTCCAATCAGCCACGGGGACAAGTCTGAGGTTTCAATTATAAAAATCATTCCCCTGATAGCAATTCAAAAAAAGCAAAAGGAGACTGTTTAGAAGGTACTTTTTTTCTCTGTTTTGAAATGCAGACAGAGGGAAGAGGAGGATGAGGCTATAGAAGGTGACTAATGATGTGGGGTGAACCCCGTTTTGTCAGATGTGAATTGAATCGAGCGCTCTGTATCTGCTGGTTGGGATGTCCCTACCGGCCGTGTATGTAATACAGATCAAGAGTGAAAACCTTTCAAGTCTTCGTACCTTTTGAGCCTGTCATCTTAATTGCTAGGACCCTGTCCTAAGTAATGGCAGATACAATTGTACTGTTTGCTCTGGTGGAAACTTGGAAACAACCTAAGCGTTCAATGACAGGGGAAGGTTACATAGAACATGGTACATCGTATGAGCTTAATAAAATGTAGTAGATAGCTAATTGTTTTTAATTAGGGAAATGCTTGCATTAATTTAAATAAAGTCAAGGATACAATATTTTATATACTCAAAGAGAGTATAACTATAAATACGTGGGAAAGTTGTGCATCTGGAAAAGACTGTAAAGCTATTTGCTGAGATGTTAATATTTTTTCCTTAGAGCTGTTGAATTATGAAAGGCAGTTTTCCTTTGTGCATTTCTTTTTCTTTCCTAACAATGGTGTAGAAAGAGACATCGAGGTTAAGAGAACAGGGAAGGAGGGCAAAGAGGCTTTAGAGTTAGGCAGTAATGAATGTGAGTCTTGGCCCTGCTATTTACTGGATGTGTCACTTTGAACTGACTTAACTCTAAGCTCTTTTCTTTCCCATCTGCAAAATGAGGATCATAATAGAACCCATTTCTAGGGTGAGGAGTAAGAGTCTTGCACAGTTCCTAGCACCTAGTACGTCCTGGATAAGCATTATGCATTAACCTGCGTTATTTTTATAGTGAGAGAAATATAAAATAATTTCTAATGAAATAAATATAAGAAGAATTGCAGAGGCTGGGTTGCCAAACTTCCTGGCTTCCAGAAAATTCTTTATCTCATCACAGAATTTTTTTCCAAACCCTGAGTTTCTATAGTGGCCTGACTCAGCCAGGTTCCCCTGGTCCCAATGAAGCTGTTGTCACATATTCCACAAACCACATGACACCTCCTCAGCCCTGTGTGAGCTCCCCGGTCCGATTCTAGCCTGTCACCAACCCTCCATCAGCCTGATCTGAATCTTGTCCCATGTCCTCAAATCCAGCTAGCCTCACCTTCAGCGTGCTGGCTTGCTGATGAGAAC